AATCAAGATGTGTTGATTGTCACTGGTGACTGGAATGCAAAGTTGGAAACAAAGAAGAGTTACTGGTAGTTGGAAAATATGGACTTGGTGATAGAAATAACACTAAAGACCACATGATAGAATTTTGCGAGCCCAATGAATTATTCATTGCAAATATCTTTTTTTTTTTTTTTTTTCAACAACATAAGCAATGACTACACATGTGGACGTCACCAGATGGAATATACAGGAATCAGATTGACTACATCTGTGGTAAGAGGCAATGGAGAAGTTCAATATATTCAGCCAAAACAAGGTCAGGAGCTGATTGTGGAACAGACCATCAACTGCTCATTTGCAAGTTCAAGTTGAACAAGTCCATAAGAGCCAAAATATGACCTTGAATATAACCCTCCTGAATTTAAAGACCATTTAAAGGATAGATTTGATGCATTGAACACCAATGACCGAAAACCAGAAGAATTGTGGGATGACATCAAGAACATTATCCATGAAGAAAGCAATAAATGTCATAAAAAGACAAGAGATGAAGAAAAGACCAAAATGGATGTCAAAAGAGACTCTGAAGCTTGCCCTTGAATGAAGAGTAGCTAAAGCAAATGGAAGAAATGACAAGATAAAAGAGCTGAACAGAAGATTTCAAAGAGTGGCTCAAGAAAAATTACGATAATGAAATATGCAAAGACCTGGAGTTAGAAAACCAAAAGAGAACACACTCAGCATTTCTCAAGCTGAAAGAACTGAGGAAAAAATTTAAACCTCAAGTTCCAATATTGAAAGAATCTGTAGGCAACATATTGAATGATACAAGAAACACCAAAAGAAGATGGAAGCAATACACAGAGTCACTGTAACAAAAAGAACTGGCCAATGTTCATCCATTTCAGGAGGTGGCATATGATCAAGAACCAATGGTATTGAAGGGAGAAGTCGAAGCTCCACTGAAGGAATTGGTGGAAAACAAGGCTCCTGGAATTGACCGAATACTCACTGAGATGTTTCAACAAATGCATGCCTTTCTGGAATCACTCACTCGGCCATGCCAAGAGATTTGGAAGACAACTACCTGGACAACTGATTGGAAAAAATCCATATTTGTACCAATTCCAAAGAAAGATGATCCCACAGAATGTGGAAATTATCAAACAATATCATTACTATCACAAGCAAGTAAAAATCTCACTGATGATAATTCAAAAATGGTTGCAGCAGTATATTGACAAAGAACTTCCACAAATGCAAGCTAGATGCAGAAGAAGACATGGAGGGATATCATAGATGATGTCAATTGGATCTTGGCTCAAAGCAAAGAATACCACAAAGATGTTTATTTGTGCTTTATTGACTATATAAAAGCATTTGATTGTGTGGATCACGACAAATTGTGGATAATGTTGAGATGAGTGGAAATTCTAGAACACTTAATTGTACTCATGAGAAATCTGTACATAGACTAGGAAGCTGTCATTTGAACAGAACAAGGGGATACTTCAGGGTTTTTTAACCAGGAAGGGAGTGCATCAGAGTTGTATCCTTTAGCATTACTTATTCAATCTGCATGCTGAAAAAATAATCCAAGACGCCACACTATATGAAGAAGAACATGGGATCAGGATTGGAGAAAGACTCATTAACAACCTGAGATATGGAGACAATGCAACCTTACTTTCTTAAAGTGAGAATGACTTGAAGCACTTACTGATGAAGATTAAAGACTACAGTCTACAGTATGGATTGCACCTCAACATAAAGAAAACAAAAATCTTTACAACAGGACCAATAGGCAGCAACACGATAAATGGAGAAAGTATTGAAGTTGTCAAAGATTTCATATTGCTACTTTCACAATCAACACCAACGGAAGCAGCAGTCAAGATATCAGACAACGTATTGCACTGGGCAAACCTGCTGCAAAAGATCTCCTTGAAGTGCTGAAGAGCAAAGATATCTCCTTGAAGACTAAGACGTGCCAGATCCAAGTCATAGTATTTTCAGTTGCCTCATAGGCATGTGAGAGCTAGACAATGAGTAAGGAAGACGGAAGAAGAGTTGATGCTTTTGAGTTGTGGTGATGGAGAAGGATACTGAGAGTACCATGGACTGATAAAAGAACCAACAAATCTGTTCTAAAGGAAGTGCAGTCTGAATGCTCTTTTGAAGCAAGAATGGCCAGACTTTATCTCACCAACTTTGGTCATTTTGTCAGAAGGGACCATTCTCTAGAGAAGGATATCATCCTTGGTAAAGTGAAAAAGGGGAAGGCCCTCAACAAGATGTATTGACACAGTGGCTATGATGATGGGCTCGGGTATGGCAAGGATGGTGAGGATGGCACAGGACTGGGCAGTGTTTCATTCTGTCATACATAAAGTCACTATGAGTCAGAGAAAATGGCACCCAACAGCAACAACAACATCGAAAAATCTAAAGCATGCGGCATTGGCTTCCGGTTAGGGAAAATTGTCATAGAAGACTAAAAAAATAAATAACAAGCCAGGTTATGCATTATCTAAACATTTACTAAGATTATCACCTGTAATAACTTAGAATCCAGAGAAGGAATTTAATAAAATTATGACTTGTCCGATTATTATAAAACAGAATGGTAATAGCTTCCGTTGGTTGCATTTAGCTGCATATCTTAAGTCACTACAAAATAGAAATGAACTCAAAAAAAAAAAAGAAGAAGAAAGAAAGTAATTTGGTCTGTTTGCCAGCAGAAATGAAAGAGAAAAGCAAGAATCCAGAGCTTCTGTGTCTTGTTGTTAAGTGCCATCTAGTCGGCTCCTACTCATAGTGACCTTATGCACAACAGAAGGAAACACTACCCCATCCTATGCCATCCTCACACTGTTTGCTAGGCTTTCATCCATCATCACAGCCACTGTGTCAATCCATCTTATTGAGGGTATTCCCCTTTTATGCTGTCTGTTTTATGAAGTATAATGTCCTTCTCAAGAGACCGTTCTCTACTGACAACATGACCAAAGAATGTGAGACGAAGTCTGGTCATTCTTGCTTCTAAGGAGTATTCTGATAGTATTTCTTCCAAGACAGAATTGTTCCTTCTTCGGCCAGTCCATGATATTTTGAGTATTCTTTGCCAACACCACAATTCAAATTCATCAATTCTTCTTCATTCTTTTTATTCATTCTGTGTCTTATGGAGTTAAAATATGGCGGTGAGTCATCTCTGTTTACCTGGTGAGATTAATCTACCACAGACTGGGGTTAAGAACCTGGCTTTTACACCTCAGCCCAGACACATATGAGCAATATGGAGTGAGGAATTGGTTAAGAAAGTCTAGGTTATGCTCTGGTTACAAACAACTCAAACATCTCAGCAGCTTAAAAGAACAATGTTTCATTGTTACTTATGTCACACGTTCAATGTGAGTGGTCCTGGAGCTCTACTCATTGGAGTCACTCAAGGTCTTAGACTGACGGAGTCTCCATCTCACCATATGCTTCCATATAGCAGGAAAAATGAACATAGAATTATGTAAGCAAGTGAATAGCTTTCAGAAAATCAATAAGTGTGTCATCACCATGAGTCAGCATAGACAGGATGGCAACGAACAACAACATGGAGCAAGAGTCAGTCAGACAACATTGAAGAGACAGTCTTTTTCCTGTTTCCTGAGAACCAGAGTAAATAAGCTGGTATGGCTTACTGGGAGCTCTGAATTTTGAGCAAGATTATTAGCACCCTACTACAGTGACATATGGAGTCCTTGGGTGGTGTAAATGATCAATGCATTCAGCTGCTAACTGAAAGCTTAGAAGTACAAGTTCACCAAGAGTTACCTTACAAGAAAGGCCTGCAATCGACTTCAGAAGAATCAGCCATTGAAAATCCTATGGAGCTCAGTTCTACCCTGACACACGTCGGCTGCCGTGAGTCGAAATCAACTTGATAGCAACGATTTTCACCTTGACATATAATTAACTGTTTCAATGTTTGTACAGCATTTTAAGTTTATATTTTAATGAATACTTACTAAGCCCTGAGTAATATTATTAATTATTCATTTGGCATCACTAATAGCTGTATATGGGATTTGGGCACCAGGAGCTATGGTAGACACTGAAGGGGTGATAAAGCAGGTAGGGTCTCTGACCGCAATCAGCTTATGATCCCTATAGGAACTTTTACAATAACATATGCTCTGGTCTGATTATGTGCCTCAAAAGGCTCATGAGGCTTTAAACCCACTCTGAAGTGCTCTGCTAGAGAAGGTTTATTTTTCAAAATGCTGGTGTTTTGATTTTTGTGTCTTTTGGTCTGTTTTGTCAGAAGATTGCTTTTCAATGGAACAACCAGAATACAATTAAAGAGAATGTTGATGCGTTGTGAAAATGTAACTCATGTCACTGAAAAATTTGTGTGGAAATTGTCAAATGGGAAGCTAAATTACTGTGCAAGTTATTATCAAAAACAATAATATATAAGAGAAAAAAGAAGACTGCTTTAAGTTTCATGGTAACCTCACCCTGACTTATTCTTAATTAAAAACACTGAACTATAACTAATATTTTGGGATCTTTTAACATGTGTCCATGATGTCCAATGTACTTTTTAATGCTAACAAAGAGCCTTTGAGGTATGCATTATTATCCTATGTGATAGATGAAAAAATTGAGGCAAAAAGGTTAATTACCTAAGTTCCAAAGCTATAAAATATAAAATAGCAGAGATGGGATTTGAAACCAAGGAGTTTAAATCTAAAACCATGCTTTTCAGCAATAGGTGACATTGCTTCTTTTAGAGCTGGGTTCTAGTTCCACTTCTTATTCGTTCTAATCAGTTGTTTTACAGGGGATTCTGATTTCTCATTCATTCATTTGCTTCAGAAATGCTTGGAATTGTCCCTTACAACAAATTCACACATTTTACAATTTATCACACAACTGAGGTCCACAGTCCATGTGAAGAATGTACTTTTGATTGAAGTGTCTCTTCCTTGCTCTCTTTATAATACGATTCATTTCTCCCTTAGGTCTCTACAGAAGAAGGCTTGAGTCTGGCCCAAGAGTATAACTGTGCTTTTTTTGAGACCTCTGCAGCCCTCAGATTCTGTATTGATGATGCTTTTCACGGCTTAGTGAGAGAAATCCGCAAGAAAGGGTCCACGCCCTCCCTGATGGTAAAGAAACTGAAGAGAAAAGACAGCTTGTGGAAGAAGTTAAAAGCTTCACTGAAGAAGAAGAGAGAAAATATGACATGATATCACTGCTTCTAATTCCCTCACTCTCTTTCTCTCTGAATTTTATTTGACAGACAATTCCAAATGTGGCATTGTGCTTCAATATTCTCTCTCTGTCTCTCTCTCTCTCTCTCTCTCTTTCAATAATCTGCCTGTAGGTAAAAGCAAGAGCTGCATAGCTGTACTTCTTGAGATAGTTTTGTTTTGCTGTTAACAGTTGGATGGATTTTGTCAATCAGCCGGATATGCTGTTTAGTTTTTACAATATATTACTAAATAAAATTGACATTCTAATTGCCTCATTTCCCTTTGAAGAGTCTAGCTTCATTTGGTATGCTGTCTGGTTATAGAGGAAATATTCAAAACTGCAGCCAGAATGATAAAAGGCTCCAGGGATCTGCTCTTGCCTGATAAGACTCTGGTTGTTTGCATTTCAGGAATGAGTAAATAATGAAGAAACTCAGGAAATAATTCAGGGATAGAGTCTGCAGCCTGGTCTTTCCTTAAATGGAGAAGCCACAGTGCTTTCTCTTGAATGTTCCAGAGATGAGTTGCAGGGAATTATTAGTAACAGAAACTGGTTGTGGGCCACTGGAGACCTGAAAAGAAATAAGTATCTTCATATGTACAATGCTCTGCCCTGTTAAGCTTTGGCAAAATTATCAAAGTGAAATTACTGGGCTGTGACAATAGGACATTGTTACATAGTAGGATGAGAGGAGCTGCTATGAATTTGGTGGCTTACATAGTCATAAAAGGACACGCTGTTCTCTGTCAGTGACATGTTCCTCTCAGAGTTGCTTTGTTTGTATTGCTTCCTCTGCAAGGCAAGAAGTTTGGTGACTCCAGATGCCATACATTCTCCCTACGTTGTTGAAATTCCCTCTCTCCTTTTATTCAAACCATGAAACACCACCAGTTAAAGGGGTTATTTTGTTTGTGTGCTTGATTTGCAATACTGTCATCATATACAATGAAAATGCTCGTTCACTCATTTTCCTCATTGTGTGAGTTGCTTTAATCAAATTCAAGCTTATAAAGCAGACTACCAGATAGGACAGTTTTGAATGTCTCATAGACAAGTGTTAGGAGGAAAACCTTAAAGAACAGACAGCTAAGCATGAGATAGAATTGATCAAATCAATCTTCATGGGGTGGGGGCATTTTTCTATCATAAATTAGAGAAAATGACAGCTGTGGGGGATACTTATCATTCAGCAATCAATCTTTTATTCTTCCTTTACAAACAATGCTACCAACACTTCCTAAACTCTGAGAATGAAGGAGTGAAGATGGACTTGAGCTCTGACTCCCTGCCTCTTAACATAACAGAGGGAGGGGGATGACAGATTCACAGTATAGGAGACACTGAGCTTCCGTTAAGGATGATGGAAAACTTAGAAACAGATAAGGGTCATGCACAGCATGATGAATACAACTATTGCCACAAAATTTCACATGAAGAATGTTGACATAGCAAATGCTTCATTACAGACATATTTACATTTTATAAAATATATTTGTCACAATAAAAATAATTATTTGGTGAGAACTTATATGGGAAGAGAACACATTTTACACAAGGACATAGATAAAGCTGCAAAGGTGTTTAGAGATTATCATTTTTCAACGATGGGACTAAAAGATCAGCCTTTGAGAAACTGTAGCTCTGAATCCTTCTACTGCTTAGGTGCAGGGAATTTTCTCAAACCCATGTTGACGTCATCGCTCTTGTCCCTACTATCTATAAATATTGTGATAATTAATTATTCTTACTAACAATCTTCTTTTGTTAGTAGTTGCTGCCACTCTATCCCTCAGATTTTTTTTTTTTTTTTCCCAACACATATATCTTCTAGGCAGTGGGTCATAGGCTAATCAGTTTTCTCCACTTTTACTGTCAACCCTTTCACCTTTGGCTACAGAGTTTTTTTTTGTTTTTGTTTTTGTTTTTTCAATCTCATTTCTCTTTTATTCTCTCTCATTGTTTTGTATTCCACAAGTCCTGGTAAGTAATTTATGTTGGTTAGAAATTCTCAGTGAGGTTTACATAAGGGAACTGTTATCAAGTCCATCCATTTCATTGTATAGAAAAAAAAAAAGGTCTGCAAATTTTCACTCAGGGTGCTGAAAGAGTTTGAGGTGGTTGTCATTGATGCACTCAGAGGCAGACTTCAAGGCACTCTTTTAAATCAGTTTTTCTTCTAGATTTAACCGGAAGGAAATGTTCCAGAAGAATAAAAGCTAGGTAGTCTTGCACAGGGACATATGAATTACTCTCTTTAGTATAAGAAAATAAGATTAAATCTAGTTTCTGATCACTATCCTGGAAAACCTCTGGGAAATCAAAATCAATCTAAAGCTCAGAAAACCACAATGCCCATCAGCCTACTTTACCAAGCACCTGTAAAGAAACTGTAGGACAATAAACATCAATGTCCATTGTATACTATTTACAAACAATGTAATTAAGTCATGTAACACAATTTATCAAATTATGAGTGAATATCTACTATTTACCAAGTTCTTTTTTAGATACCACATCTTGTGCATGTGTATGTGTTAGTTGAACAGACGCTAGGCAACTCTAAATATAGTTCTTGCCCTCCAAAAATGTATCATTTATTTACTTCAGGGTATTTTTAATTAACTTAATTTTTAAGTCCCCATGATAAAATAGTTTAATAATGTTTCACATCAGAGACAAATCCTAGTCTAAAATTCTGCATTTGGTGTTCAGTGGACACTAGTTGAAACTGGAAAATTTGTAGAAAATATCAATTAATAAAATAATGGAAAATGGGATCAAACATTCCTCACATCTTCCTCACACGTGCAAAGAAAATCTAACTACTTCATTTCTACATACTTCAACTGTCTTCTTATAAGCCTCTGACTAATGAGTTGTTGATGTGTTATTGTTAGGTGCCAATGAGTCTGTTCCAACTGATAGTGACTCTATGTGCCACAGAACGAAACACCGCCCAATCCTGCACCATCCTCATAAGCTTTGCTATGTTTGAGCCTATTACAGCTGCTGTGTCAGTCCATCTTATTGAGAGTCTTCCTCTTTTTCACTGACCAGCTACTTTAGAACCTCTGATGTCCTCCTCCCGGGACTGGTCCCTCCTGATAACATGTTCAAAGTATGTGAGATGAAGTCTGACAATTCTCCTTGCTAAGGAACATTCTGGTTGTACAAGACATATTTGTTCATTCTTTTGGCAATCTATAGTATAGTCAATACTCATTATCGATACTATAATTCAAATACATCACTTATTCTTTGGTCTTCCTTACCCATAATCCAGCTTGTACATGCATATAAGATAATTGAAAATGCCATGGCATTGGTCAGGCACATCTTAGTTCTCAAAGTGATAGCTTTCCTTTTTAACACTTTAAAGAACAATTTTTTCTTTCTTTTTTTTTTTTCCCAAATCAATTGATTTATATATTCTGACCATATTGACCTTGTAGTGTTTACCTTTTCTTTTTTAACTTTTAATTGTGATTTGGGAGAAAGTTTACAGAACAAACTGGTTTCCCATTCAACCATTCATACAAATTTTGTTTTGTGATATTCACAATTCTCACAATGTAAAAGCACTCTTCTTACCTCCTCCCTGTGTTTACCGTTCCCATTTGTCTTACTTTCTTATCCCTTCCTGCCTTCTGAGCTTTATCCCTAGGTAAATGCTGTCCTTTTGGTTTCATATGGTTGGTTGTTCCAATGAATGAATACCTCCTTGGTGTTATTTTATTCATCTTTTAGGTTTATCTATTGTTTGGCTAAAAGTTAATCTGGGGAGTGAGTTCAACTGCAGCCTTGAAGAGTGTATAAGCGCCACAGTCTCAAGAGATCCCCCAGTCTCTATCAGAGACTGGCCTTTTTATGATTTTGAATTTTATCCCACGTTTTTCCCCCACTTTATCCAGGACTTCCTATTATGATCCCTTTCAGAGCCATTGATAATGACAGGCAAGCCCCATCTAGTTCTGTTCTAAGGGTCATGGGAGCTGGGGTTCACATGGTCCATTAGTCCTTTGGACTAATTTTTTACTTGTATCATTGATTTTCTTCATCTTCTTTGCTCCAGGTGGGGTGAGACAAATAGCTGCATCTAAGATGATTGTTCATAAACTTTTAAGACCTGAATCAAAGTAGGATGTAGAATATTGTCTTTGTGGACTATGTTATGCCTATTGTCCTTATTGTCCCCCAAGACTATGATCTTGAGCTCTGATAGTTGTGGCTAAGAAGTATGGTTATGTTTGGTTATGGCTAGAGAAGTTTTCATAAACTTATTCTCTGTATGCTGTACTGTATTCATAGATAAATTTGTAGCACATATAAATATATATGTGGAGATATCTCTTTTGAAGCAGATTTGTCCAGTGCAATACGTCATTTGATTTCTTGATTGTTGCTTCCACAGGTGTTGATTGTGGATCTGAATAAAATTAAATCCTTGATAACGTCATTGTCCTGCTGATGTCAGATCTTGGCTGAAAGTAGAGAATACCAGAAAGATGTTTATCTCTATTTTATTAACTATGCAAAGGCATTTGACTGGGTCAATCAAAACAAATTATGGATATCATTGCAAAAAAAAAATGGGAATTTCAGAACACTTAATCATGTTCAAGAGGAACATGTACATAAATCAAGAAGCAGTTGTTCAAACAGAACAAGAGGATACTGCATGGTTTAAAATCAGGAAAGGTAAGTTTCAACATTTACGAGAGCAAACAATCTAAGAAGTTAGACTATGTGAAAAAGAACATGGCATCAAGATTGGAAGAAGACTCTTTAATAACCTGAGCTATACAGAGGACATATTGTTTGCTGAAAGTGGAGAGAACTGAAGCACTTACTGATGAAGATGAAAGACTACAGTCTTCAGCATGGATTACGGCTTAACATTAAGAAAACAAAAATCCTCATAACTGGATGTATAAGCAACATCATGATAAATGGGGAAAATATTGAAGTTGGCAAGAGCTGATAGTTTGTTAGAGAGAAAACTAAATTTTCATTCAATCTGGTACCTTAGTGAAAATTTGAGTTAATAAATTAACAAATCTCTTTAACACAACCTGTTTGATGCACTGAAGTCAGTATTTAATCATTTAAACTCTACCTTATTTACTCTTCTTTCCAAAATGGTGTCTAGGTATAGGGGAAAGGCATATCTTCTGTGACTTTATGGCAGTGGAGTTTCCTCCTCTAATCTTCCAAGCTCTGAATGGTCCTCTGTGATCTCTTTAATAGAACATCCAGACTGGAGCTTTGCTGGAC